GAGTGACACTGGCTATCCTTCAGTCTTCAGGCACCTCTGCCGTTGTCCAGGACCTTTCAAAGATGACAGAGTGGTTTACCAATCAATTTCACCAGCTCCTTCAGCACATGTGAATGCATCCCATGGGGACCCATGGATTTGTGTTTATTCGTTTAGACTATCCCTGATCAGTTCCTCCCTGACCCAGGGGCAGTCTTCCTCTCTCCATTCTCTCTCTCTTCCCTCTAGCATCTGAGATTTTAGCTGTAAAGACTGAAGCAAAGAAGGAGTGTTCAGTATCTCTGCCTTCTCAGTGTCTTCTGTTACCAGGGCACCCACCTCATTCAACAGTGGGCCCACATTTTCCCGTCTTCCCTTTGTTATTGATGTACCTAAAAAAGCATTTTTTGTTGTCTTTAACCTCCTTTGCCAGATTTAGTCCCAAGTTGGCCTTAACCTTCCCAGTTACATCCCTGCAGCCCCTGACCACATTCCTGTGTTCCTCCCAAGTAGCTAGACCCTTTTTCCACATTCCATGGACCTTCCCCTTCCCTTTGAGTTTTTCCATGAGCTCCTTGCTCATCCATGCAGGTTTCCTGCCACTCTTGCCTGATTTCTTTCTCCTAGGAATGACTGTTACACATTCGTTTAACCTGCAGGAAAAAGAAATAATTCCACCAAAGCATACTTGAGGAACTTTTTGCATTGCTTGAATGGTTGCTGTCTTGAAAACAAAATTAGAGGCAGCTTAATTTTGGCCCTACATTTGGCTATTTATGTTTTTAGCTGTTACACTATTTTCCCGAATTGTTTATTTGCAGTCTTCAGTAGTTTAAAAAATGCTTTAATCTCTTCTAAAACTATGGGAAACTTACCTTACTTTCTTCTTAACCTGTGATCTCAGAGCACCAGAAGTACAGAAGCTGTAGCAGTGATTTAGGCTTGTTGTTCATCAAGCAGGATATATCAGTTTCTCGAGTTAGTTTTCCCATTTAAAAGTTTGAAGCTAGCTATTTTAGACCAGTTGGGAGACACCTTCTTTGTACCGTAACGTACACAAGTTCCAACTGGTTTTAGTTTTAATAGTCTGATTCTACAACTGGTCAGATGCATGCATAGCTATGTTCATGTTAATAGTTCTTTTAAATATAAAATAGGACATGTGGAAATAGCAGTCAGAGAGCCTCTTTACTGGCTAGGAATCTGGTCTAAACAATATTAGGGAGTATAATTATATCATAATTATTTCTCAGCTGTGCCTTTTGTCTGGTTATGTGCAAGTTTATAACTATTATTTTGGCAACTGTATAAATACTGTCAAAATACTCTCTGTTTTGCTCTTCCCACCAGCCAAGATACCAGAACTAGCATAGATGTTTTCACTTGGTCTTGTTTGGGGTTTATGTGCTGTTCCAGGAGTGTGTATGCACACATGCCATACGTATTTCCTACTGTTAAAGATAAAGGAACCCTGGTGACTTTTGTTGTTCTCTCTCTAATGAAGCATGAAGTCTGGGTACCCACAACAATAAAAGTAAAGATTGCTGCCAGAGAAGGAGTAAGTCCAGGGTTTCTTTTCAATCACCACTCACATTTCTCTCCACAGGCACTAACTTTTGACTGCTGTTTGCTCCTATTCTAGGCAAATCTTGCTCAACTATTGAGTGAGGCTCAAGATCGAAATAAACATCTTGGAGAAGAGATTAGAGAGCTTCAGCAGAGACTGGGAGAAGTACAAGGGGACAATAAGGTATTCTAAACTTTTGTTATCAGTGAATGGCATGGAGTGTATAGACTGGAGTTTTCGATTTACTTCTTAGGAAAACAAATAAAACAATGGGTTACAGAACTTCTAGAATACTTGGATAATAATAAATGCTCAAAACAGTAGAGCAAGGATACCAGTAAGTGCAGCTTATGATATATTTTTGTATGCTGCTTTTCACCTATTGTCTTTAACTATGTATTTTTTATCTAACCTTTAATAATCTCAGTCTTTCTTTCTTTCTTTCTTTCTTTTGTTTGAATATATTTTGTTAGTGGTATTTCCTCTAATAAATAAGTATGGATAAGTATGTCTTCTTCATCCTGTGATAATTTTCAGTGAAAATGCAAAATTTTAGTAGATGTTAAAGCCAGGGGAGGCATAATTTTTCCCTTCAAAAATAGGGAGCAGTTGATCACAAATATGTATAGTGAGCTTTATATTAAGCCCTCATCTTACTACCCTTACATAACCAATTTATTTTATTGCTAAATTTAGCAAGTTATATGGAACATTGCTCAAAATCTGCCATTTGGTATTAATCAAACTCCTGTTGTCTCTGTTAATTGAAATATTTAAACTCAAGCCAAATGTGTGTAACATTCACAGCTGGAGCTGTATGCAAAAGTACATTCAGAGATCAAACTGGCGAGAGGTTGAATTTGAGAGTCGAGGTGGTTAACGAAGTAAAAAATGAAACAAATAATGAATGATAACTTCTCTCCCTCAACTACAGTTTTAAAGTTAGGGGATTTAAAAATGTGAATGAAAATTATGTGTCTTTTAATTATTCAGGGGCATTTTTTCTTTCAATTTTATTTTCTTTTATTTATTTTCTTTTAAACCTAAGTATATTGTGATAATCCATTTTTTTTTCATTGTTTATCAAAAAGGACTTCCTTGAAGGTGTGCAGGGAGCTGGGAAAGGGTCAAGTGAGACCTGAATTTGTAGTATGCATAGCATTCAGTGTAACTTGCTCAAGTCTTCCAAGACCAGCTTCCCCAGTGTTTCTTTTATTTGCATGTTGCTGTTTGAACTATATTACAGCATGTAAGGCGGTGCTTTGCAGTTCTGCAGTACCAGTATTATGCTGTGCAGCCTTTCCCAAGCCAGTCCTGAACAGATAACAAGGGATTTTTAGTACAAACAGAACACAAAGGTAGTACAACTACAATATATTTAAATATCAAGGTTATGTACCTATTCTTATTCCTTATAACAGTATGATCTTGGTAACACAGAACCTACTTCTTTGTGCTTAAACTGACTTTGTTTAGATTTGTCTTTGTGGGTTATGTTGGTATTAGCTGGTCATCTATATTCTCAGCATGAATTTAGATTAATGATCCTCATAATGAATGAGAAAATAGAAGAAGAGTTATTCTGCCCACCGTGCTCCTCTCCAGAAGTGCGACATATTGTACCACTAAATAAAGAGGGGAAGGAAAACGCTGCATCAGACAGGGATTAATTTAGACTAGGGTTTTCATTTTTGGAAGACATTCTTCACTTTCCTAGTAAATGAGGAGAGAGAGCTTATTTTAGAGTCAGGTGGTTGTTTTTTGAAGTGCCTAGAAAAGCATTGCCATCTCTCTGAGGGGCTTAATGCTCTCCTCTTGTGTCAAATTTTGTGCACTGGAGTCCAGATAATGCAGGACACATACAAAAACAAAGCACTATAATAATTTGCTTGTTCTTACATTTTTCCCCTGCATTCTTTTCTCTGCTTTTTCCAAAGTGAGGGAGGGCGTCCTGCCCAGCTGGTCTACGTCAACCTTACTTCTGGCAAGAGATGAACAAACAGCTGCTTTTGCAGCAAGTGAAGCTGCTTATGGATGAACAATTCTGCCTGTGTCTGAGCAGGCGTGACTCATGCAGGCTTTGTCACTCAGTGGCAAGAGCTTTGTAGGACTAAAAAAGAAAAAAAATACTTTAAATATCACACATTAGCTCTATTGATAAAGAAAAGTTTTGATGGCTTGACTTGTTTTTCAGTGCTTTAATGTTTGCTACCAGTAGGATATAGTCACTTGGGTTAGCAAGAAGACCTTAAACTTACTGACATTGTTACTTGTTGCTGAAATCATGTTAAGTGCGTCATCGGTTAGGCAATAGCAGATTACTTGCATTTGGTTTAACTGGACTAATTTTTTGTTTTAATTTCAGCTAAAATTCTGTTGGCACAAATAACAAAACCTCTTCAGGCAGACTCTGGAAAGATTTGTTGCTGCAGTTTCAGAAATACAGCAATAGTTAGACTGCAGCACTCCAGCAATAGATAACTAAGACTTATGATTGATCACAATCTCTTATCAGCTCTGACACATTAAACTATTCTATGTTTATGACAGTTACTTGTAAATCTTTTTCCTTCCTAACGTTCTGGCAGCAATGCTTGGAGAACAATTACTGAAACTTAGAGGGGGATAGTTAGGAAATGCAATTCTCTCTTGTAAAAGAGTGAAAATGGAAAGCATAAGAGAAACCAGAGGCTTCTGGAAGACTAGATGACTCAGTTGCCTTCTCTTGACTTCCTGCCCACGCAATGAAATGGTTTTATAAGCTGTCGAGGGCAGTGCTAAGTGAGAGGAAGATGCATGGAAAACAATGGCTGCAGTACTACTGACAGTTCGTTATTATAAGGCAGACAATCATTCTGCAGCAGCAGTGTGAAATGTTAAATGTGGTGTGTATGTTTTGGCAGAACTGGGACTTTAGGTAGCAAATTTGCATAGTTCTGGTCCACTTTTTAATATTTTATAGGCAATGTGGTGAAGACTGTCAGTGACTGTGGCTAAATGTGATGGTTTCTCCCTTCCATGAAGAATTTGCTGATTGTGCTTGTTTCCCTTTTCCTTCTACATGTTTTTTCAGTAATCAGGAACGTACAGCCTTGGCGCAGGCTTTGTCTGTAGGCTCCTAGCCTGCACAGCAGCTATTGCAGTGAAGCCTGTTTGGAGCATTGTGGGGCTGCTAGAGAGTTACTACTTCATGAATAATTATTTTAGCTGATGTTGATGAAGAAAAAGCTGTGATGTTAAATTAATACAAGCTAGTGGCTTGCAGCACTGAATTGTATTGGTTAACAGTATATTGGTCCTTGCCAAACAGGGGGTATCTCTGTTAAGATACCATTAATTTAAATCCACTCAGCTGTGGACGCTGTTTACAGAATCCTGAGGGCTGGCATTAACCTGTTCTGTGGTTGCAAAGTTAAGGTGAGCAGGCCTTTCCTCGGTGGTTCCTGAACGACAGAAATAAAAATACAGCAGCCGGAGGGCAGGTGTGTAAAGTTTATAACAACGCACTAATATGTGAAATAAACCCTTAACCCTCTGGCATAACACTTTGTGTCTCTCTGGGTCACAGCATTTTCAGGGAAGAATTTTATAGCAGGTGGTGCTGCCTCATGAGACATTCGCAATGCAGAATTAAAGGACTTGGCCTGTTCTGCCCTGTCAACTCTCTGATTGGCCAACTGTCTGGAAGAAGCACTCTGTTGTTTTATGGATTGGTATTTTATATTTTATGTATGTTTATAATGCTGCTTTTGCTGGCTGAATTGGGATTTCTGAAGCATTCTTTTCATGAGACTTCATACCTTTTATTTTTGCTTAAAAATTAGTAGTAAATAAAGAGTTCTCCTTTTTTGGCAGGCTGTTTGACCTTGCAAGTAATAATTGCTTGCAGTTATAATTACATCTTATGCCTCACCCGCTCTGGGCTGGAGGAGGGTTGGTCATAGTGCATGAGTCACAGCTCTGATCCCGTTCCCAGCCTGATGCTGAGTGTTACGCAGAAGTTCTGCTCTGCTGCAGGCGTTGAAGACACTGGTAAAGTGTGATTTACCCTCCCCATTTCCAGCTTTTCTGAACAAAATCAAGTCCTCAAAATATTATTACATTTGTTTCTTACTGCCTTTCTCACTAGTGAGAGATTCTAGAAATTAAATTAATCTAACTGAATTAAATCACATTACCATGCCTTTTGTTCATCAGCCTTTCAGCATTTAAAGGAGCCAGTCCCATAGCTATGAAGCCATTCCGGGATTTCCTAGTTGCCTCTTTTTACTTATTTGTTTGGATAAAGAAATTAATAAGAATTATATCTCCCAGGATCCATTCGGCCTTACAAACTGTGCAGTGGTTTGTACTTGCCCTGTGGGGATAGGGAAATGTAGTTTGCCAAAACTGGTTACTTTCGGGGGCACAGCTTCCCCTGAACCAGGGAACTGCTTATCAGAACAAGTCGTACTAGTGTCAGTGACTTGCACTGAACTGGAGCTGAAATAAGTGGGGAGGGTGATTTTGGTAGTCTGTCTTGCATCAGCAGGATTTTAATTGGCACGTTGCAGCTATGGTGACTGGCATCCCATAAATACCAAAGATAGATTTTAATGTACAGTCTTCTATTTCAGAAGATTGATTTTTTTATTATTATTTTTTTTCCCTAAATCCGCAGTGCAATGATGTACATTAATTCCTTGGTGCAGTCAAAGATACGAGGAAAGTCAGGCTGGTTGTTGTGGTGGGTTTCTCTGGTCTCTGTGGAGCTCCTACAAATGAGGCCATGGGGAGGCAACAATTTTGCCTAATTGTACTCAGTATAAACAACTGTAAATGCTGAATGCCTTACAGACTGCTATTTTAATACTCCATGATTCTTGAAAGGTACTTGCTTTTTGCTTGATACATTGTATGTAACTGTGTTTTAAGTCAAACTGTTTTCAGCAGTAACAAAGCTCATGAGTTCATTAGCTGTTTGAGCATTTTGGCCAAGTCTTTTTGTTGTTGGCCTGTTTTTTTCTGTTTTTAACATGAATTAACTTTTGTGAGCAGATGAAAAAAATAGTGCTCGAGCAAATGTATTAGCAGCTGTTAATGCAAATTCTGCGCTGATGTAGTGCAGTGGGATTTTAAGTGGTATCAATAAAATGAAATTGGGCAAGCCACTTCATGCCTTTTTATTCTTAACTAGGAAGAGTTCTGTGCTGCAGAGAATAGTAAGTTTTACATATGAAAATGGCTTTTTGAGAATTCTCTAGTTTTAGTCTGACCGGAATTAGTCCCGTCACTTCTAAAAAGCTTTGGCCACATGTCAGTATTTACTTGGTCTTTCTTCATTTGTATACTCTGGTGACTATTGTTGCAGGGTCTAATTCAGCTCCTGATAATGCTTGGAGTGTTCAACTGGAGGTTTTCATTGAGAAAAGGATTGAGCCCTCAGCTCAGAAATTCCCCTCTGGTTTAAATAATAACAGATGTTTGGCCTGGAAGAGATGAAATCAATGAGAGCATTACTCTTTCTAATGCAGATGTAGTCGGATGTGCAGCCTGTGTTCTCTTGCTTACCCAGTCTGTTTTTGTAATCGCAGCTCCTTCGAATGACAATAGCAAAGCAAAGACTTGGAGATGATGAAGTTGGGGCTCGCCACTTTGCAGCACATGAACGGGAGGACCTTGTTCAACAGCTGGAGAAGGCTCGAGAACAAGTAATAACTAAGTGGGCCTATACTGTCATGTTTTACAGAGCTAGTGCAGTAGCAAGCAATTGACTGCTTCTGGTGTGCTTGGAGGGCTGGTAGCTGGTTAATGTTGCAAATAGTGGTGAAGGTGCTGGGATTTTTACTGAAATAATTCTCATTGAGCACTAACTTAAACATGCATATGTGGTTAGAGTGACTTTCCTAATCTCAGGAATTCCTTCTCTAGATTGTTGATTCTCCTCTTTTCATAATGTGCAGCAACAACAAGTGACAATTGAATGTTGTCAATGAATGTCAGTGAAAGAGACTCCTTAGTGAAAGCTGTTACGGTTACAAGTATTCAGTACAATGTGTGGTGGCTGATGCATCTCCTGAAGATATTATCTGAATCAGATTTTATGTAGAAGTGTTGTTAGTCTCCACTTCCTCCTTTTAGCTGTTTCTCCCCTTCTTTTGAAAAATTCTTGCATAAGACCTCTTTTCCCTACCTCAAGTCTGTATTAATACTGTGTACCATGCAGCATCCAATTCATCAGACTCTTT